CACTCACACAGGGGTGGTCAGACTGGGACCACCACTCACACAGGGGTGACCAGACTGGGACCACTACTCACACAGAGGTGACCAGACTGGGACCACCACTCACACAGGGGTGGTCAGACTGGGACCACCACTCACACAGAGGTGACCAGACTGGGACCACTACTCACACAGGGGTGGTCAGACTGGGACCACCACTCACACAGGGGTGGTCAGACTGGGACCACCACTCACACAGGGGTGGTCAGGAAAATGACATGATTTTTTTACTTGAAAGTTTCTGCAGACTTTGTGTTTCAGTCTTTTCCTCATGTCCTCATACAGGCAGTGACTACCTTATAAACATGGTGTCAGAACCATTTTAACAGTGGGGGACACACTGTTGGGGGGTCTGGGGGTCCTCCCACAGAAAATTTTGAACAAAATAGATGCCGTTTCCTGTATTCTGGTGTATTTTACCAGGTTGTTAAACATATTTTACCTATATAAATAAGACTTGATTTAATAATTATTTCAGAGACAGATTCTTCATTAAACTAGTTTCATCATCATGTCTTTAACTCACTGCTACAGCTGAGATAAGATTAATTAATGTGACACAGTTTATCATATCCAATGACTTTAGGATTTAAATTTAAACACTGCCACCAACTGGTCAGGAGGATTATTACACCCCTAAAGTTGTTTCACTGTGGAAGGGCTGTGTGCAGCAGGGTGGCCAAAGATTTGTCTGTGGTGGCCATGGCCACCCCTGGCCACCCCCTGGCCACCCCCTGGCCACCCCCTGGCTCCGCCCCTGCATGTAATGTAATATAATTCTTTTAAAAAAGGTACCACTTTACAATAAGGCTCCCCTCATAGATGGCTTTTAAATACTTTATAGATAAGTTATTAATTAATCTATAAACACTTTATCAATTATTAATAAATGTTTATTATGCATTAATTAAGGAAAAAAAGAGACTAAACTGGTTTCTTACCAAATACTGAAACAAATGTGTTTGTGTATTAAACATTTCAGACTAGTTTACCTTGTAAGCTCAAAAATGATTAGGAAACACATATTTTAACATACAACATTGTACTGTAGTACTGTAGTACTGTATTATAAATATCCACAAATATTACAGGGATCCTTAGTGTAAAACTGTACACTATTTTGGATGAGGTGGGGTTATTTGGTGTTAACATTATGTTTTTTTACTTTTTTGATACATCAACATTGTTGACATTAGTTACATGTTTGAACAATAATTTAAAATACTGATAATCAACATTAAGTTTTAAAAATGATGATTTTTCACACTAAAGACTAACTTTTGGCATTTATAAATGTTTATTTGTCATTAATAAATAGTGAACTTTATTACACTTTACGATAAATCTCCCTTTGACAGTTGTGTATATTTATAATGCAGTAATACAGTACAATATTAAAATGTTAAAACATGTGTTTCTGGTTTTTATTGTAATTACAATGTAGTAACCCAGTCTGAAAAGTTTAATAAGCACATTTAGATGTGATATGTACATGAACAGTTTTGTCTCTTTCTCATCTTTAATTAATGCATAATAAACATTTATTAATGATTTATAAAGTGTTTACAGATGAATTAATAACTTATCTATAAACTCTTTATAATCATCTATAAGAGGAGCCTGACTGTAAAGTTTGACCAATAACTGCTCAGTAAATTCTCACCAGTTTTTCATAAATTTTACTGAACAAAGATAAAATAGTTCCATTCACAGTGTTTGAACACAGAGCTGCATCCACCATCATCACTCCCAGGTAAAGGACAGGTGAGTGACAGGACAGGGGCACTTCATAGGGCCAATCAGCTTTCAGCTGGGGCCAGTGCCCCTGTGGCCCCGCCCCTAGAACCGCCCCTGGATCCAGACTCCAGCTGACTGAGCTGCAGCAGGTAGCTGCTGATCTGACAGGTGGAGCAGGTGATGCACCTGACAGGAGGCTCACAGTATTTACTGTTTGTTTGTTTGTTTGTTTGTTTGTTTGTTTGTTGTTGTTGTTTACGTTGGGTAAACCTCATGCTGCAGGTAAAGACAGGAAACGTGTACCCGGTCAGTGAGCATCCAGAGAAGTGAGCAGCGTGGCCCGTGTACTGCACATCACACCGAGCCACGTTGTTGTTGAAGTTGGACTCAGGAACCTGCTGCCGCGGGTTCACCGTCACCTGTCGGGACAAGAACAGGTAAGAGATAATTATCCACATCCTCCACATCTGGGTCACATCTGGAGGTCAACAGAAACCCAGAAACCAGCTCTGTAAACTCTGAATGTAAACCCATCATTCTGCTTTGACTGTGAAACTGTCTTTACAGGGCTTTTATTTTGAAGGTGAGTGGGTGTTTCCATTAGCAGTGTGCGCTAACGTGGTACTCTGTCCACCAGCAGCACATAAACAGAGCAGCAGTCCAGGTTCTAAGAAGGTTCTAAAGGTTCCCTTCAACCAGAACCAGAACCTGATCCTGAAAAATAATATTATTTTTATTTAACTTAACTTAACTTAACTTAACTTAACTTAACTTAACTTAACTTAACTTAACTTTTTTCTTTAATATTTATTGTGAATTTAGACATTTTACTGCAGTTTGATTAAACTGTTACTGAAGACAAAAACATGAGAGGACGACTTCAGAGGACAAGTAAGGACATGTGAACACAAGAACATGTACACATGAGGACATATGGACACAAGGACATGTGGACATGAACACATAAGAGCATGTGGACATGAAGACATAAGGACATGTGGACATGAAGACATAAGGACACGTGGACATGAAGACATAAGGACATGTGGACATGACAACATGTGGATATGAGGACATGTGAACCCGAGAACATGTGAACATGAGGACATGTGGGCCCGAGAACATGTGGACACGAGGACATGTACACATGAAGACATGTGGACATGAGGACATGTACACATGAGGACATGTGGACATGAGGACATGTACACCTGAGGACATGTGGACATGAGGACATGTGGACATGAGGACATGTACACCTGAGGACATGTACACATGAGGACATGAGAACATGTGGACATGAGGACATGTGAACCCGAGAACATGTGAACATGAGGACATGAGGACATGTGGGCCCGAGAACATGTGGACACGAGGACATGTGGACATGAGGACATGTACACCTGAGGACATGTGGACATGAGGACATGTGGACATGTGGACATGAGGACATGTACACCTGAGGACATGTGGACATGAGGACATGAGGACATGAGGACATGTGGACACAAGGACGTGTGGACACAAGGATATGTGGACATATGAACCCTGAGGACATGTGAACATGAGGACATGAGAACATGTGAGCATGAGAACATGTGAAAACGAGGACATGAGAAAATGTGAACATGAGGACATGAGAACATGTGAGCATGAGGACATGAGAACATGTGAACATGAGGACATGAGAAAATGTGAACATGAGGACATGAGAACATGTGAGCATGAGGACATGAGAACATGTGAACATGAGGACATGAGAAAATGTGAACATGTGAGCATGAGGACATGTGAACACAGAACGCATTCTCACTCCCAAGTCGTCACATATTGACGCTTTTGGCAAGGTTCCCTCTACGTCCGATTTTGACGCGCAGGGTACCCCCGTCACGTCAGTAACTGACGAGATGGGGCGAAGTCTGTTTTCATGTTTTCCGAAAGTGTAGAAAATGTGCAAAAACTGGCGTTTCGAAGCCCGAAATTTCCTTTGCTAACTTTAGACATGCTGTCAGTGACCGTAGTACCTAAAATTAACCATTTTTAGAAAATGTAGAAAATTCACGTAAACATGTTCCAAAGTCTGAAATTACCTAATATTCACCATGGACATCCTACCCCTGATCCCAGTACCTAAACTTAACCATTAATCGTGATCCCTCAGGTTAACCTCAGACCCCCGACCCAAAGACCCCTAGTGGCGCAACCCGGAAAAGCCGCGGGCGTCAAGGAGTGACGCGAGGGGGGTACCCGGCGCGTCAAAATTGGACGTAGAGGGAACCTTGGAGAAAGCGTCAATATGTGACGAGATGGGAGTGAGAATGTGTTGGAACACAAGGACATGAGAAAATGTGAACATGAGGACATGAGAACATGAGGACATAAGGAAATGAGGACATGAGAACATGTGGACATGAGGACATGTACACATGAAGACATGTAGACACAAGGACATGTGGACATGAGGACATGTGGACCCTGAGGACATGTGAACATGAGGATATGAGAACATGTGGACATGAGTACATGTGGACATGAGGACATGTGGACATGAGCACATGTGGACCCTGAGGACATGAGAACATGTGGACACGAGGACATGTGGACATGAGTACATGTGGACCATGAGGACATGTGAACATGAGGACATGAGAACATGTGGACACGAGTACATGTGGACATGAGTACATGTGGACCCTGAGGACATGCGAACATGAGGACATGTGGACCCTGAGGACAAGTGGACATGAGTACATGTGTACATGCGGACATGTGGACATGAGGACATGTGGACATGCGGACATGTGGACATGAGGACATGTGAACATGAGGACATGAGAACATGTGGACATGAGTACATGTGGACATGCGGACATGTGGACATGAGGACATGTGGACATGCGGACATGAGGACATGTGAACATGAGGACATGAGAACATGTGAACATGAGGACATGAGAACATGTGGACATGAGGACATGAGAACATGAGGACATGTGAACATGAGGACATGAGAACATGTGGACATGAGAACATGTGGACATAAGTACTTGTGGACCTTGAGGACATGAGGACATGTGGACATGAGGACACGAGGACATATAGACACCGAGACAGCGATGAGGACTTCAGACCTTCAGGATGTATTTTCCAGGTGGGACATCGGTGATGTCGATCCACTGACAGTCGATGTCGGCGTTGTAGGTGTCGTAACATCCTGGACTCAGACCCTACACAAACAAACAAACAAACAAACAAACAAACAAACAAACAAACAAACAAACAAACAAACAAACAAACAAACAAACAAACAA